CTGTACAACCAGCCAAAACACCTCATGTACACAGCTTTCTCTAGCCAAAATACCTCATTGTAAAGCTCTGACCAGCTAAAATCTCTCATTCTCTTGCTCCCTTGGAACCAAAATCACTCATTGTTGTCTATTTAAGGAGGCTCTCCTCCCAGTTGTTTTTCCCCTCAGTTTAGTACCCACAAATCACATACCCCCTACCATTACATACCATACCATTACCATTACATACTGTAACAACCTTTATAACACCCAATAACAACCCTTACACTTGTAATACACACTAAACTCACTCTCATACTCTCAGAAACTCAATTCTTACATCATTAAACTGTGATCAAACAAAGAAATCTCGAACCAACCACCCCTATCACTTGATTAAAACTTGCCAAGCTAAGCTTGGTGGGTCTTGTTATCTGATAGTATAGAAGGGCAGAGTTTGCAACTCCACCATACCCTTCTCCATTCAGCAAAAGGGTTCTCACAACCACTTTTGAGTCTTACAACGGCTATTTCACCATCCTACACAGAACAAATAATCACAAAACTTCAGAATCGACTTCCAGAGAAAAGTAGTGCAACTTATATTGCTACAGAAGCTACAAAAGTCTCAGCAGCCATGACCACTCCAGAAATAGAAGATTCCTCGGACCCTTGCTACTACAGCTGTGCCTTAGGATACGTAACAGCCGAAGTTGGGGGAGCTAGCGTGGAATTTATGGTCGATTCAGGATCCATGGTAAACGTTATGCCTCGATCAGTAGCGGAAGATTTGGATTTGGAACTAGTTCAAGTAAATATACCAATGAAAGGAGTTGGGGGAGCAAGATGCGACTTAAATGGAGTAGTTGAAAATTGCCCAGTTGGAATTGGACGATTCTCTGAACCAGCCCATTTATTTGTTTCGCCCAAGGCTCAGGACTGTATTTTAGGACGACCTTTCTTATTTGACTACGGATGCACTCTGGAATATCACGAGAATGGTGAAACTCTTTCTTTTCAAGGAACGAAGGGGCGAAGGGTGTCAGTACCATTAGCAAGAACGGGCCAAGGAAGAGGCTGGAACAACAAGAAGGATCTCAGTACCAATACTGTGAAGATGCAGGACAACAATATACGACCGAATGAGGATCATCGAATGTTCAAAAATAAATCAAATCAGTCTTTTTTATGAATTCCGGTGTTCAACTACGGAAGTACTCACTTAAGCTAGTCAAGAGAGTTATATTCAGAACACCGGGATTCCTAGACTGGCTCAAAACTTTCCCTTTGGATCTATTCAGAAAACTACCAAAGCTAACAAAGAGATATTTTGCAAAGGTAATGTTATTAAAAAAGAATATTCTGATTATTTTCCTTTTACTTTTGAGAATTTGTAAAACAGGTGCAGTTCAACTGCAAAAACTCAGGACAAATAGGATTCAAGACCCACCAAAATTGAATTTTACGGAGGCAGAAACTTTCAGAAAACCCACCTCCTCAACAATCGAATCCAAACCATCGGAACCACTTGGCTACATGGATATACCAGATCAGGCGGAGCAATCAAAACTATCCGGGAAAAAGGCTTTACAGACTAAAGATTTCCACCTTCCAGAAATAAAAGAAAACCCTCAAAATTTTCCCATAAAATCAAAAATCAGCTGGATTCAAGATATCACCAAGTTCAAAGACAAAATTTTCAATAAGCATCTTTTCAAACCTCATTTGGATTTATCCAACAATTCAAAAATCAACTACATTTATACTCAACAACCCAATATCAATAAGTATACCAACCCTGAAGGACAGGATGAGGATCAAATCAGTATTTCTAGCTCAAATAAAATCACCAATTTCAAAACACTCACTCAACCTACCTCAAATCAATCTACTACACCATCAGTTCAAATTTTACCAATTCTTGAAGATACAATCAATATCCCAGATGCGCCAATTCCACCAGATATCACACAAACATGGAGGGATTCACCAAACAAGCTAGGCAATGAAAATAGTAAAACCAGAAATAATTTAGAAGAATCAGTCAACAATCACTCTCAAATTGACTTGAAAACAAAATATTACTGGATCTTACTGTATTCACTTAAGAAAACCTTTTCTCTAATTTACTTAAAAGCAGAACTCTCAGAATATCTATCTCAAAATTTCAAGCTCCCAAGGAAACTTGTGGGGGTGGGTTGATTTTTTTTCAACATCTATCCTTAAACAATCAGGAAAATCACATCAGTTCAAATTTCAAATTTCCACAGTCAGATTTTTTTTAAGTTGGGGGAGGAAAATTTCATACTTCACTCACATGATCACTGTCCCCAAATTACCCCCTCTCATTATCCTTAAGTTTCTTTTATCCAAAACACACCTTTACATATTTTTTATCTTTTTTTATATCTTATCTGTTCTTTTGGACTTGAATTTTTTTCTCTTTCAGTTTTACTCAAGCCTTTTTTCTAAGAGTTTCCTTTTCCTCTTTCAATCACTTAAACTCATCAACTTCATCAGAACTATTGGGTTGAAGGTTGAGGACAACCTCATGAGTTGGGGGAGGGGTACAGTACTCATCATCTTAAAAAAAAAAAAAAAAAAAAAAAAAAAAAATCTCTTCATTTCATCTTTTCTCTTTATTTTCTCTTACCCAGACATTAGATAATATCAATCAGGTAGTGCTGGATGGATAAGGAGTGATCACAAATATCGCTGGTTTTGGCTCGGACTAACAACTAGGACAACTGTATCACAATTGAATTCGATCGACTCGGGTAGATTTATAGACTAGATGCGACTGGATCACAATCTTTAGGTTTGCTGCTTGGATCAATGATATAGTTATATAATATAGGATGATGAGAGAATCGGATAGCAACTGCTTAACTTCGGAAAGCACAGACAAAAATAAAGCAAAAGATTAATGATGGCGAGATAAAAGAAGGACGGCATGAGGAGTCTTGGCTTGAAAAAGTAGGGAAGATGGCGATGGAGGAAGTCTTTGAGTAATGTTAGCACGTGAAGAAAGAGGTTGAGGAGGAAGAGAAAACGACATCGAGTTGAGGGTATTTATAAGAAAATAATGACCCCTCGACTTTAATCTACTGGCGCAGAAACTTCTCTACAAACGATTTGACTCCATCGGCGGCAACTTTCTTTTTTTGAACGATTAAGGGCCATAGTTGCAAGGAGAAAACACTAGCAAGGAAGATTTGCGGGGATAATTCGACAATCTAGAGTGGTATCGGCCGATCGAACAAACGACAACATGTGCATTAATCCTAGATGGTGCTAATGAAAGAAGAACCAAAAGTCAGCTTCTGGATGCCAATGGGGTTATGCGATAAGAATGCAAGATCAATATTTAAATGAGAAGAAGACCGAATGACTTCCCTCGACA